TTGAGATGGAGTCTCAATCTATCGCCCAGGCTGGAGTGCGGTGGTGCAGTCTCAGCTCACTGCAGCCTCTGCCTCCCGTGTTCAAGTGATTCTTCTGTTTCAGCCTCCCAGGTAACTGGGACTACAGGTGCCCGCCACCACACCTGGTGTTTTTTGCATTTTTGCAAAATGCAAAAAACATTTTGGTAAAGACGGGGTTTCACTGTGTTAGCCAGGATGATCTCGATCTTCTGACCTCGTGATCTGCCCACCTTGGCTTCCCAGTGCTGGGATTACAGGCATGAGCCACCTGGCCGATACCTTGTCTCTTAAAACATTAATTAATTATTAGCCAAGTGTGATGGCCTGTGCCTGTAGTCCCAGCTGCTTGGGAGGCTGAGGCAGGAGAATCGCCTGAATCCATGAGGCAGAGGTTGTAGTGAGCTGAGATCTTGCGACTGCACTCCAGCCTGGGTGACAGAGCAAGACCCTGTCTCCCGGAAAAAAAAAATAATAATAATAGTTAAAATAGAGCAGGCTCCTTGTTGGAATGGGGGTAGAGTCAAGGTTAACTCTAGAAAAAGACAGAGTTGGACTCAAACAAGAGGCGAGGCCTACCAAAAATCAGCCCTGGGAGCGGGTGACCTTGAGACCAGGACTGTCAGAGACTGGTTGGGCTGAGAGGAGCCTCTGTGGTAATGAAGATCCCCTCTTCGCAGAAGGGGAAGAACTGGAGCTGGTGAAGAAAAGCTGTACCCACTCAGAGAAGACCAACAGGACCATGAGCTATCGGACTGGCTTGAAGATCACCAGCCTTACCGAGGTTGTGTGTGGGTTAGACTTGTGCAACCAGGGCAACTCTGGTGAGTACGGCAGCCCTTGCCATCCCCAACCCCAAGCCATGTCCAGCTCAACCTCATCATCATCCCAATCCTACTCTTAACTTTACATTAGCCAAACCCCAACTCCATGCCTTATCCAAGTCCCAACCCCAACCCAACCCATCTCTAGCTCAGCCCCATCCCCAACCCATTCTTGACCCAATATCCAACCCCAACTCAGCTTCACCTTCAATCCTATCCCCGATTTCATGTTACCCCAACACTGTTCCCAACTCAAACTCAGCCCTGTTCCAAACACAGTTCCAGCCCCATCCCCAAATCAACCCCATCCCCATCTCAGACTATCCAAATCCCCACCCCAATGACACAATTACTTTCATCTTTAACCCAATCCCCATCCTGCATGTTTGTATGTGTGGTTGTTAGGTATAACTTGCAACTCTGCCCTCAAGCTCACACGCGTGCATGAGACATAGATGAGACGTCTCAGTGATGTTTGTCCATCTGACTGGGCAGGAGATGGTCCTACCCAATCCATTGGGATGGGAGATGGTCCAAGCAATAGATGCTGAGGGGCCAGGATTCAAGCAAAGACTTGATGTTCTTAAGGGAAGTCAAAAGAGGGGAGGATTAAATGGGCCACGGTAGGCTGGGAGAATCCTCTGCAATAGATGGTCTCTGGCTTGGGCAGTGAAAAAAAAAAAATGTGAGGAAATGTCCATAACAGGCTGGATGTGGTGGCTCACACCTGTAATCCAAGCACTTTGCGAGACCAAGGCGGGAGAACTGCTTGAGCCCAGGAGTTTAAGACCAGCCTGGGCAACATAGTGAGACCCAGTTTCTGCAAAAAATAAACAAAAAGTAGCCGGACATAGCGGTACACACTTGTAGTCCTAGCTATTCAGGAGGCTAAGGTGGAAGGATTACTTGAGCCTGGCAGATCAAGGCTGTAGTGAGCTGTGATCATGCCATTGCACTCCAGCCTGGGCAACAGAGTGAGACCCTGTCAGAAAGGAAAGAAGAAAGAAAGAAAGAGAGACAGAAAGAGAGAAAG